CTTCTCAGGAATTCTAAAACGACCAAATACACCTCGCGATTCGCAGATGCCATCAGAAGAGGGATGGAGGTAGGCAGTGGGACTTTGAGAACTGTTACTTACTTGCTCACTGTAGTTGCTGTCACCAAATGTAAACACTCAATGTAAACAAAACACCAACATGGCCGAAAGCATAAATTTGAAAAGTATACGAATGGTTCCGAATTCATCCGATTCTTCTGTAAGTTAATTATACCAACCTAAAGGAAACAAAATAAAAGTGTCGAGCTTTGCCGTATCCCGTTGAACCCCCCTGCGCGCCGCGACGTCTCATCACTCATCACCACCCTTTCTTTGTTCTTATCCTCCTCTTCTTTTTTTTGTACTTTCTTCAGTCTACATAAACACATTCACTAGCAAATATTCTAAATATAATTGAACAATTCGACGCTTCCCATAGAAATCAGAAATTTCATTTAGAATTTTATTTATATAGTTTATATAGTTTATATAGTTTATATAGTTATATAGTTATACTCAAAACATTGTCATAGTGTAAAACGTACTTTCCTGTAGGTTTATATAATAAGTGATGATGTAATGAACGTTGCTCCATCTCACGGTGAAGACCCAAAGTCCATCTGTCAAAGTTAGCTGATCGTATTTGCATACAATCGCAAATTATGTTTTTCTAACAACACCTGTTTTGGTTGAGTGTTTGAGACGTGATGCGAAGAACAACGGACGAAACCGGCTCATCAAAATAAATAACTGTTCTTCATGATCTACCGTAAGTATAGGCATAGGCTCATACGTTCCTCCAGGGATTATTCCACCCCTGACTTTGACCTAATTTTCGTTTGGGGGCTACATTACAAATCAATAGTTGTAGTTTGTGTGTGTGTACATCACATAGACCACTCCTAGAAGAGGATGATGACTGAATTGCAGAATTTTATAAATAGAATTAAAAATCGATGTAATTCCGCGACAGCCGCCGCCTACTAATGCTCATCAAACCTCATTCTCTTCCAGTCAACAAGTGAAAATGGTCCGAGTAATATCTGTGCACCACTTCGCCAGCCAACATCAGGTCACCATCGAGCAGCCGACCGCAAGCACAGTAGCCCCACCAAATAGATTACTTCTGGCTCTATCCAGCCATTGCGTTGAGGTCAGAGATCTGAGAACTGAAGGGGATGTCTCATTCACATTTCCCACTGTCGATGAGGTTGCTCAGATCCATCATTGCATCAACGGTGAGTCTTCATTGAGATAATTCATAGATTCTCTGCAATGTTGGAGTTGTCGTTCTTTTCTCAGGGGATTACGTGGCCACGCTGGAGTCAAAATTCAACAGGCAGAATCGCGAGTTGAATTTCGTCCGGGTGTACGTGAACTGGGACAGCGTCGCGGCGCTCCAACAGTCCAAGATGAACCACAGCGGGGCGAGTCTTGGGCAGTCGGAGTGCGGAATGGTGCAGCCGATGAGGGCGAGGATTGCCGGTCGTGTTACCCCGACGACTAACCAATCGGAGCTGGGCAGTCTGGAGATGATCGAGATTCCGACTAAGAGGAATCCAGATAGAATCGCCGTTTGTCAGGTGCGATTAAATATTATTATTATTAATATGTCTTATTGGAATCTTGCTTTTTTTAGATATCGGGGAATTTGTTGATCCTCTCCGGGAAAAAGTTGACGGTGTACAAGTACGTGGTGAGGACGCACGATATATCGAAGCTCAAGTTCATAGACTTCGAGGATGCACAGTTCGGATTTCAGCTGAGCTTCGCTCCTTCGCATATGGCTATAGCCGAAAACTACGTGGCTTGTCTTAATGATAACAGTATGTTGCTCTTCCGGATCGTGTCTGGTGGGGGAAAAGAAGTCGAAGCAGTCGAGATGAACAATTCCACGGCGTTTAAATGTATGATACATTTAGTTTGTTGCGTTCTACTAAATTTAAGTTTCTCTTCCAGACGACGATGGTCCCATCGATTATAAGAAATTGCTGCGCGACGAAAGCCTGAATCTCACCAAAGACTTCACCGTGAATTTGCCGAGCATCATGAGGGAGAACAGCGCCGTCCATAGGCATAGCCCGTTCACCTACTGCGATCGCGAGTTGAAAGCTGAACTGATCTCGGAGAACAGGAGTAATTGCCTGGTGCGGACGGAGAGCCTGGTGCAGCTGAAACTGAGGCCGATTATGATAGAGAACGCGCAGAAGCAGATCTCCGAGGAGTTCAAGGATCTGGTGCTGAAGCCGCTGTATATAGACGAGGCTTTGAACAAGGCCGGGAACAAGTACAGCGATGAGACTGGATTGTGCAGCACGCACAGGGGTAACCTGCACAGCGTCGCCTGCGTGATCGCCACGCAGCAGGAGGGTTACTTGTATCATTTCAACGATAAGGGTGACTTCTCATCGGACAACTGCATCACCGTGTATCCGTTCACCGCTCCAGTCTACAAATTAGTGATGGAAGATTACTTCTTGCACGCTCTGACCGAGACCGGCTTGGAATCGTACACTTTACGCACTTGTCACAAGCTTTGCAGAAGTATCCAGATCATAGACGACACCAGTGTTGCGTGTCCTTGCATCGGAGAATCCGTCTGTCTGGTGGGTCTGCGTCCGTTCCTCTGCATCGAGAATATTCTTATAACTGATAGCCATTTGATCCTATTGGGAAACGGCGAAAGCTCTCCCACGCATTCCGTGGGCTCCAGCGGCAGTTCCACCACTTCCTATTGGTCCGTGCACATCCTTGAGCTTCCGTCGGCGCGCACCATCTTCCACGACATCTCCATCGTGGCTGACGCTCATCGCTTCTCTTCAGCGCAGACCTATCGACATTTAATGAGTGAAGCGCACATGATCCTCAGGTCTAGTCTGATCTTGAACAAGTGGACTAACGGTGGCGGCACCAGCGCCAAACCCAGACGTTCTGTCGAGGAAATCCGCGACGTCTACAAGACTTCGTGCGCTCTCCTCGCTGATCATTACATAATGTATAATAATAAGCGTAATGAAAATCGTCATAAAATTATTAAACCTACGTTTTATGCTGAAGGTCTTCCAATGAGGATGAATACCGGTTAGCCGTTCCCTATTACAAGATGGGATGCGTTAGTCCATCCGATGTGATCAAGCGTGTTAAGAAGATCCAGCATCAAACGAACATTTCCGTGAGTTGTATTCAATTTGATTTATTGTGTGATATCAATTTGATCAATGTTTGGAAAAAAGGAGGCCAAAGGTTTGATCCATTACCTGAAGGTGGTGCTCTTCGACACGAAGCTTAGTCCCGACCTGTTCGGTTCATCTTCGAAGCAGAACTTTGCCGAATCCGTGCTTGATCTGTTCGAGCGCTACAACTTCCGCGATCTACCGAACTTGATCCTCAAAGTGGGCATCTTGCGCGAGTTCGGAACGGATCGTCTCATCAATATTCTTAATACCGGAATTATTAGGTACTGATCTATACTCTATCGATCAATAACTAAATAATGATTTCATTTTGCCTTCGTTGTAGTCCCGACATTGATCAAACGGAAAAGATCGTGGCTTTGGTGGTGCTGTACAACTTGCGTGACAACTCGGCTAAAGCGCGTGAGCTTCTGCAAGAGATCAACACCGAGGACCTGAGGAAGGTCCTTTTGGAAAATTGGGAATTACTGTTCGAGAGTTTCGGCAGTCGTCGGGTGATCGGACTGTCCTTCTCCGAATTGGCGGTGATGCTGATGAACGTGAGGCCCGACCTTCTGGCCGAACTCCTCCTGGCTTACGTAAACGATAAACGCGTCATTACATTAGGGAAATTACTGAAAGTAAGTGCTCTTGAAACTAAATACTACACATTACAACAATTACACAAATGGATCTACGTGGTGTGTCCAATTGGAGCAATTACAAACAGTTTGACTCTTTTTATCAGGAGGTTTCCCTCCTAACCGGTAATCGATCACGGGGTCCTTCTGCCCTCTGCGATGTATGTATATAATATTCTCGTAGTTATGACTCTAGCACTGCGCTTTCCATACTTAGTTTCTGACAACCTGTGGATGATGCGAGTGAGTGAGCGTGTCTATAATATTTATGCAATCATCAGCCTTTTTCGGAAAGCACTCATAGGTTTCGAATGGAGAACGGTCACTACGGTCATCCGCTTAACTTTTGTCGTCCATCGTCGTATTGCATCAGTTTGTGTCATTGAAGTCATTGGTTTTAGGTGTTTCTGGAATATTTACCTTCGAGCATCGGCAACGATGCGAATCAAGGAAGTTTGGTGCTCCAGAAGACGCTCGAACTGCACTTTGCTCGATTCTTCCAGAAGTACGAGCTGTCCGAACTGTGCAAAGTCATCTACGATCGGCCCACGCACGACGCAATGAAGCTGCTCGTGCGCTCATATCTATCGCAACTGCAATTCCTGCAGATGCGACAAGCGAAGAGCATCGCGGTTCTCCACAACGATTCCAATTTGAATTGCGATCAAGATGTTAACAAGACGAAGAACAATAAAAAGGCGAAAGTCGTTTATCTGTTCTGGCAGCTCAGGCACGAGTATCTCAACTACATGCCACCCTTCAACGATGAATCCGCGACGAAATCCGCCGACGCTGATTTGATCCTGAAGAAGCTTCAGGCGCTCCTCTGCAGCCAGGCCATTCCCAATCAGGTCATCTTGGAGGTCAACACCTTCCTCACTCTTAACGAAGAGCTGCGCGGCAACGCCAGTCTCCAATCCATCATCATGACCGTGAACGACGGAGTTCTGTTCCTCGTCGATAATCATCCTCAATGTATCTTGCACTACGCCAAGGATAGATTCACGCGACCCGACGAGTGGAAGTTTCTGATCGCCTCCGTGCAAAGTCACATTTTGCATGCGTCCCACGCCGAAGAGGAGCACTCATTCTCCTACAAGAAGTTGCTGAAAGGTGGTTTAATATTTAAAATGTGTATTGCTGTTATTTATATATGTATTTTGTTGCTTAGATATATTAACGCACGTCGCTACCAACATGAACCTGGAGCATCTGATCCTGGTGTTCCCGCAGCACATGAACTACTCGACCAGTTACATGGAGAACAACGAGTTGAACATTGAGGAGGACAACGGCGAAAATTCGACTGACATTCTGAACGAGATTCAAGATTACGAACCGTACATCACACTGTGCAAGGAGACAATGCACGCAAATCAAATTAAGAAATTGATCACGGCCACCGGACAGCAGCTCCTCTGCACATTGAATCTCTAAGTATAATCCTCTTCTCTCTCTCTCTCTCTCTCTCTCTACAAACATATTTATACCTATACACACCATATATATATCTAATCCCCAACTCCTCTCTTAAATACCTTTTTTTATATATATATATGATTATGTAATGTAATACTCTAAATGTGATAGAAGAACCAAAAAAATCCAATTTTCCTTTTCCATTTCAAAGATTTTTTAAATGGCTGTTACCTGTTTTTGATAGTTTATATATTAAGAAGAAATATATACGAATCGCTTAATTCATTAGTTTAATTATTTAACTTTTCTATACTATTTGTGAATTCTTCTAGAAAACTTTTAAGATAGTTTCAAATATTTAAATGAATGTCATTTGATAGTTCTTATGTTGGTAGTAGTTTTGAAAATTTGAATATTTAAAAGAAATGTCCGTTGGTATTTCAAAATTTACCAAAGAAATTGAATATTGGTAAACCTGCTTGTAATCATTGCGCTATCGCCGGCGACCGCCGCCGCCATTTTGTTAAGTCATTCACGTTGCGCGAGTTAAGGTTAAGAAGCGAGGGTTATTTTATTTTATAAGAATTTGCATTTAAACTCGAGCTATAAAGGATGGCGCAGAGCAAACTGAACGATCTGGCCGGTAAATTCGGAAAGGGAGGTCCACCCGGTCTGGGAATTGGACTGAAACTGCTCGCAGTCGGCGGCGCCGCTGCTTACGGCGTCTCCCAGGCCATGTACACAGGTAATGAACCCGATGATTACGTAATGCAATTGCATTTGTTTATACGATCTTCTGTTGTTGTTGCTGCTGCTTCTGGGATCAACAGTTGACGGTGGTCACAGAGCCATCATGTTCAACCGTATCGGTGGCATCCAGAAGGAGATCTACACTGAAGGTCTTCACTTCCGTCTGCCCTGGTTCCAATACCCAATCATCTATGACATCCGCTCCAGGCCCAGGAAGATCTCCTCACCCACTGGATCCAAAGATCTGCAGATGGTCAACATCTCGTTGAGAGTGTTGTCCAGGCCTGACGCCATCCAACTGCCAAACATGTACAGGCAGTTGGGTCTCGATTATGATGAGAAGGTCCTTCCATCTATTTGCAACGAAGTACTGAAATCTGTTGTTGCCAAGTTCAACGCCGCCCAGTTGATCACCCAGAGACAGCAGGTATATTTCTGAAAGCAGCTGCTTTATATCAAATGATTATTGTTTGATTATTTGTTAGGTTTCTCTTCTGGTGCGTCGCGAATTGGTCGAGAGGGCGCGCGACTTCAACATCATCCTCGACGATGTCTCCATCACTGAATTGTCCTTCGGCAAGGAATACACCGCTGCCGTCGAAGCCAAGCAGGTGGCGCAGCAGGAGGCTCAGAGGGCCGCCTTCATCGTCGAGAAGGCCAAGCAGGAGAGGCAACAGAAAATCGTCCAAGCCGAGGGTGAAGCTGAGGCTGCGAAGATGTTGGGTGAAGCCATCAGCAGGAATCCTGGTTACTTGAAGTTGAGGAAAATCAGGGCGGCTCAGAACATTTCCAGAACGGTAATTATTGGGAGAAATATGAGTTGAGAATTAATAATAATAATAATTAATTACGTTTGGTTTTACACACGCAGATCGCCAACTCTCAGAACAAGGTCTACCTGAGCGGCAACAGTCTGATGTTGAACATCCAAGACAAAGAGTTCGACGACTCCTCCGATAAGTTGAAAAGTAAGAAGTGAACAAACACTCCTCTCGTCACATAGTTTGTAACAAAAAAAAAAAGACTCGTACGGCATTTTTTTTTCTGTCCGGTTTCATCTGGGGGCGGCGTTGTGGAGGAGGGAACGAGGGGGGGCGCGCGCGCGCCTCTGTAGCCCTTGAGGGTGATCACAGCAAGCTACGACCATTTAAGCCATTTCCGGTTTAGCTTTAGCGATCTTCACTCTCACTCATTACTCTCATCGAAAGGCGCCTTCCTCTCCTCTCCTTCCCCCGCAATTGGAAAAAAAACCAAATCGGAAAACCAAACAAACAAATTTAATAAAAAACACGTAGTTTTGTACATAATTTATAATATAATAATATTATTAAAATCGTTGGATGCATTTCGAATTGTGATCATTTTGTGGGAATGTATAATATAATTATATATATTATTATTAATAATGATGATGATGATGATAATAATAAAAGCCAATTGTTATTTTTATTATTTTATTTACTATTTCGTATTCTTACGAATCTTTTATTTCTCTCTCTCTCTATCATTAATATTACCATTACGTTTAAGCTGCTTCTTTCTTGTTTTCGTTAAATTAACAATTTTGATGATGGTTGTTGGTAAGTTTCTTGAAGAATTGTTTAGATTTAGTTGAAAGCTTTTGCAGGATTGGAGTAAGGAGATTGGAAGAGGTTCTAAAGGTGGAAACGACTTTCTTTTGCAGATGGTTACGGATCGACCACGATCTCCTCCGCCGAGGGTGGACAGAAACAAAGTGTCGCGTCTTCGGCCGCAGAAGCCGCTAACATGATTACAGGCAACGACAAATGATACATTTCGTTTCGTTGACAACTTTTGCATTTAATTCGTAATAGTTTTCTTGTGCACTCTCACTCATGTTACAACGCCTACAAGACTACTTGGTAGTATAGAACATAGTTATCACATATTATGACACCTACAAGGGAGAATTAAAGAAAAAGGGTCGCAATTCAATTTGGATCAATCTCGTGTGTCTTCTGTCTGTGTGTTCCATTTTTATTTTGATAAATAAACTCGCTGGAAATTTACTTCTTATTTTCGATTCAAGACTTCCCGTTCAATCAAAACAATATAAATATTTGATAATTTTCATGAAGAAAAACTTTAACTGAAAGTTAAAGAAAAAAAAAGAAACGAAAGATGGGAGAATCCAACAACCGTTCTAATTAAATCTATTATCACCACATCCGTTCCACCGGAAGGGCACTAAATCTTCTTTTGTTCTTGCCACGCCAGATTCGATTGTGTCGCGCGAGATGCGCTTTTGTTTTACTTTTCTTTTCTCTCTCTCTCCATCTTTTTCTTCTTCACGTCGCAGCTTCCATGTTTGCATCTTTTTCTTCTTGATCTGTAAATTCTAATTCGCCCGCCCTTCCCCTTCGAGTTCTTTGACAGGGCGCATCCCTAACCTACACGTGCCCTAGAAACCAACCCCTGAAACTGACCCGTTTTCCATCTCTCTCTCTCTCAACACACACACACCATGACAACCCGAGAACAAGATACGAATTGATCGGACGTTTCCGTCATAATCGAGTAAACTTGTATTTAAAAGAATTGGAATATTGGAAAAATAATTTACAAAGATTTAGTTTTGAATTGGGCGTTTGGTGATGATTGTGCGATATTAAAAGGGAGGATTAAAATTTGGTCCGGAGACGGATGCTGCGCCACCTCGGTTGTATCCGCCGAGGGAGGATAGAGATAGCGTCGCGACGCCCGAATCTATGGCAAGCAGAGAGGCAGGTCGCCCGTTGCTGCTACTGCTGATGCTGTGTCGTCCTCCTCCTCATCCTACTTCACCTCCTCATAATCATCATCCCGATGTTGTGCAGTTGTTCGGTGCCAATAAATCGAGTGCGACAGACAACATCAAACAAAACTTACAGTTAGTTAGTTTCACCTAACAAAACTGCAGAAAGAAGTTCAGTTTTATTATTTCAACAACTGCAATTACATTTTCTGTTCTCACGTCGTTGTCGTGATTTTTTTAAGTATGGTGAAGGATGTGCGGATGATGGGTGGAGCGCCGTCCGGTCGGGCCCAAAGCAGGACGAAGCTCTGATTAAAAATTAAACAAAAAAAAAAAAAAAAACAAAACATAGTTTTTCTTCAATCTGTGCGGATTGTGTGCGGTGAAGGGGAGGAGAGAAGTAGTGACCAACCATGTCGTGGGAATCGCTGAACTCACATCACGACTTCATCAGGTAGTTTGTATCTTTCGTCCTTCTCAATTAAACAAATGAAACAAAAGTCAATATTGATCTTCGAAACAGAAGCAAAAAATCGGCGATCATCAGATCAAGAGCAACAGATGAAAATCTCGATTTTCTTTTTATTTTCAACAACCCCCCCATCCTCCCCTCACTCATTTTCTCTTGACGTGTGTGTTTCCCTCATCTCCGTCGACGTGGAAACATAGGTGAGGTCAGTTCCCTATTTTTTTTTTGTTTCCTCCTCCTCCTCCTCTTACAATCCAATCCGATCCAATCACAAACCAAAAATTTCGTGCTCTTGTTTATTTGAAACAAATAAACAATAAGGATTCGCGATTTGCTTCTCTATTTTGTTTTCGTCGTGTTTCTATTTGAAATTTTTGTTTCTCGGGGGTGTGTCAAACGTTTTATAGGTCAAACCCAGATCGTGTCGAACGCCCTCGATTCCCAACCTTAAAAAAAAATAAACGACCGAAACCATCGGACAGTCACAGTCCTATCATCATCACCCGATTAAACTACTAAAAAAAAATGAAACAAAAGCGATACACAGAAACAAAACAACATTTGATTTTCATTAATTAAATCAAGAGTGTTAATAAATACATTATTGACATTTTACAAATAAAAGTTTTAAAAAGGAAAACAAAATATTTGTAATATTTGTATTTATAAAATAAATACAGACAATTATATTTAAAACGAAATAATTAATGAAAATATTAAGTTTAAGTGTATTTTTTGAAAGAATTGTCTCGTCTCTTTTAGTGTTTAATAAACATGAGTATATGCTATTCCATCGATATATTGGTTCCGACTTTAATGTGTTTCTCTTCTTCGGAAGGAGCTTTTATGGTTTTCTAAGAAAAAAAAACGTAATAAAAGAAAACGCGACCGAACGAACGAGAATAAATGTGTATAAATAAGAATGGTAAAACTACACTTATTGAAAAACTTCGTAATACTATTGGATTTTCCATAACAACAATACATTAGTTAATAGATATTTCCAATATATTCTGTATTGCTGCATTATTATTATTTGCTTTTTTTTCAATTAATTTGAAAATTGAAAAAATTATTTTAATTTACAATGAAATATTAACTAATTAATTAAAATAAGCCATATATTAATGATTTCTGTGCTGTTACCCGGCGCATCCACATAGGAAATAATCTAAGTAATTAAAGCAAGTTTGTTTAAGGCGTCTTAGTTGATTTGATCATAAGATGATTGTTGAAATTGAGTCGTTTTCAGTTGTTTGCTGTATGTTTTACAGTGGCGGCGTGAGCCATCAGCTGTCGGCGACGCGACTGCTGTCGTCTCCGGAGGGTTCACGGAATCCTCTGGACGGTGGCGTGAGCATCGGCGGGGCCGGCGCCATGGAGCACCACCAGTCGTGGACGTGGGGCGATTCATTCTCGAGCTTACATCGCGATACCGCCTACACAGAGGTGCGTAACCCGCGACCCGCCTATTTCACGTGGAGCTGCTTCCGCGGTTGCAGAGCTCGCATCCATCACAGCATCGCCAAGAGGAAAGTGGAACAGGGCGTGAAACTCTATAACCAGCACAAGCAGCAACAGGCGGTGCGCAAATGGAAGTCCGCCCTTAAAGCGATCCGAAAACGGGAGGACAAGTTCGAGCTGCTCGGCTATCTCTATCAGGCCTACATGGATTGGGGAAAATACAGGTACGAACGACATCTATCCAATATAAATAAAAGTTTGTTTGTTTTTTGTTGTTTTTGTTGAAGGGATGCGTTGGAGTTTGCCCATAAGCAGCTGTACATCTCGGAAGAGTTGGATAATCCGAACATGAGGGCGGAATCTTATTTGAATTTGGCGCGCGCCCACCAGAGACTCGGAGGTTTGGAAAGAGCACTGGCTTATGCCAGACACTCGCTGTACAACGATTGCGAGCAGTGCGCGACTGCCGGACACGTCCATCTCACAGTCGGCTCCGTCTATTTGGAGTTGGCTGGCTTCAACAAAGCCCTGGATAGCTTTCAGCACGCGCATCGCATAGCACAGGCCGTCCACGACAACGCACTCGAACTACAAGTAAGTATACAAATATATAATATATCCCGGCGCATCCACCAAAACTATACTTGCTTAAGGTGTACGTTGGGTTGTCGGAGCTATTCAGCAGGCTGCAGGACGCGGACAAAAGCGCGCGCTACGCATCGAAAGCGTACGATTTGTCAAGATCGTTGCAGTTAGGCGACCTCAACAGCAGACACCACAGAGCTGCCCTCCTGCAGATGGCTTCGGCACTAAGGAAACAGGGCGAACTGGGAGACGCGCACGACTACTGCTCGGTAAAAATAACATCAAACTCACCTTTTTGTTTCAATTTCAATTTGATTTGTTGGGTCAGGAGGCGACAAGGTTGGCATTAGTTTCCGGGGACCAGGCGACGTACGCCCGCAGCATACGCATCATGGGCGACATCTACAGAAAGAAACAAGATATCAATGTGAGTCTTTTTGCAACGTTATTTTTAGATACTACTCACATTTACCGGTAAACGTGCAAATCTAATTGCAGAAAGCCTTCCGGCAGTACGAGACGGCGATGGGTTCAGCTGCGGCGATGGGCGATCGCGTGATTCAAATGGAGTCGATGGATGGCGCTGCTAGATGTTTGGAGGCGTTACGGCTGCAGCACAAGATATGCAACTGTCGACCCTTGGAGTTCAACACTAGGCTTCTGGAGGTGGCCAGCTCCGTCGGCGCCAAAGTATTTCTGAAAAAAATAAATAAATGAACAAGAAATATGAATTACATTACGATATTTACAGCTTCTGGTGCGAACGATTCGCATGCGTTTATCGAAGATCTACCATAGCTTAGGCGACGAAGACCAGAAGCAGCATCACGAGAGAGTCGCGACGCGGCTTCAGCAGGACCTGGACCTCACCTGCGGCGGCTGCGGATCCCCCTACGGCATCGAAGGAGATTCACTGGAGGCGCTTCCGTGCGCTCACATTCTGCACGCCAGGTTAAAACAAAAACCTGAAAACAACAAAAACAAAAAAAAACAATTGATATTATATAAATTTCAGATGCGCCTACGATATTCTACGAAGGAACAAAAAGAAGAAACGCAGCTGCCCCGATTGCGACAAAGCGATGAACTCGAGGCTCTACCTCAACTGCAACGATTACAACAACACTTACAGCCCGGTCGCCCTCTCCGTCTGCTCCTCGGAAAGCCACTGCGAATCGCACCAGGCGACTAGTTCAGTTTAAACGCACCAAGTGAAGAGAGAAGAAAAAAAAAATCACACACTCACACAACACACCAATCAAATCACCAAATACTAATTTAATCATTTAAAATATAGCGGAAAACGCGAGAAACGGACGCAACGCCGCGTGGCGGATTTCCATGTAATTAGTTTTAGGTTTAGTTTAAAAGAAAAGATAATGATGAATATCTATTCTTTCTCTCTCTCTCTATTTCTTCCATCTTAAATGTATTGAATTAAACGAAAAAATCTAACTAATTAACTAAAGACATACTACTAATACTAATAACTTAGGGCTGCACCGAAAATTAATGACGAAGTAAACGAAACGTAACTTACTCGAGTAAATAATGATAAAATTCCTTTAGCGTTTAAGCACCACACAAAAGAGAAAAAAACACCAAAAAAATAAATTAAAATAAATGTATGTCAGCGTTGCGTCCCGCATCCCTCGTCGATTGGAAACGTCGATCGAAGACAACAAAAAAAAAACAATCTGAAACAATGAATTAGCGTTTAAAATTAAATTTAACAAAATTGAAACGGAGAGAAGAGAATAAAGAAAATTTGAAGAAGAAAACAACAAACACACACACACACAATTTACACTGTACATATAGAGAAAACAAAAAGAAGAGATTTTTAATTATTACACACAGCCCTTTTTTTCCCCAATTTCTTTATAGTCGGGTCTTCGTTAACGCTTTTAACATCAACGATGTTTCTTTTTTTTTTCATTTGTTTAAAATCAATTGTTTTCGTTTGACAACGATCTTATTATATGAAAACAAAAAACGGAATAAAAGAACATCGTCGATGTGCGAAGCACCCGTCGATTTGCGTGTATATTATATATAACAAATATATATTTGAGAGAGAAAAGAAAAACAAACAAAAGAAACACGTTTCGTGATGTCCACATGTTTGTTACCATGGTGATCTGTTCGTCAATCAATTGTTGCCCAATTTAAAACAAATTCTATCTACCTTATTGAAAACTATTGTTGAATATATTTATTGCGAATAGTCTATGTGGGGGAAGGGGATGGAGCGATGTAAAGAGGAAATTGTGACACGAAAATGATGGTTATTGAAGAAATATATATATACAAAGAAAATTTAAAATTATGAAAATAAAATGAGTATGTAAATAAACTAAAGCAGCGGACGAAAGTAAATTCGATAGATGTGATTGGTAGAGGAGAAAAGTGCAGAAAATTTCAATAAATTGAAATTTTATTTAAAATAAATGAAGATCAAGTTAGTTCTGCCGATTTCTCCATCTCTGATATTATTAATAATAATTGAAAGTTATACTAACTAACTAAAACGTAACAGTGCACTCTTTAAATTCGACACCTCGCTGTGAAGAAAACGAGAAATTATGAAAAAATAAATGAATGTAATAAAACAAAAGCACGATCTGCCGATTTCTAGAACAACCAATAAGGAAAACTCCAACAAAACAAAACACTCACAACACAAATGAAATATTATATATGACGATAGGGGAGAATAAACAAAAAATAAATGAAATGAAGTTGTTTGTTTCAATTCACCATGGAAACGAAAAGAATTTTCGTTTACTTCTATCGATGTCTGAAAAGTTTAAAACTAATTGATAATCTAAAACTAAACTAAATTCTGGTATCTGAAATTAGATTTAGTTCGTAGTTGGAAAAATCGAAAATTTAAAATTAGTTTCAAGGTGTGTTCACATAATCTGTGCGCAATCGATGCGGGATGCGAAATAGTTCAAATGATTAAGTAGTTCGTCCGGTTGCGGCGGCGAGGGGTTGTTTTTCCGTGCGCTTCGAGCAAAAGTTCGTTTTCTAGTTTACCGAAGATCTAAAACTCCCCGGCGAAATCCAATTTAAAAAAAAAACAAATGGAGCGAGTCGGGGAGCAGCGGATGAGAAGGAGCCGCAGGAGGAGATCTCGGCAGCAGGGTTTTCGCGTCCTAGTGAAATCGCTGACCATAGTCCTGGTGGTGACTGGAATCATGAGGAATCTGCTGAACAGATTCGAGCAGATAATGAACGCGGCCGAGGTGAAGGAGATCGATCTGCTCATCCATCAGACTGAAGGAACAGTCGACCACGACAACTACACCTACTACAGTCTACACGAGGAGGGTGCACTTAAGATCATCCTCGAAACGAAGTATACATATGCAACTGGAGTGTCGCGCGTGCATTGTTATTTGTATACGTGATGTTTTGCAGGAACGGCGACGCCGATCTGTACATCTCGTCCAGCAGGAGGCCGCAGTACTATCCGGAATCGTACGATTTCGCGTCCACCACGTGCGGCATGGACTTGGTGGAGGTGCCCGAAGATCTGCGAAGGCCGATTCTGGTGGGAGTGTACGGACATCCGGCGCACCGCAGGAGCGCCTTCACCTTATCCATGTACGTCAACTTCCGGCCGAACGAGACGTACCGGAAGTACAAGGCCAGTCGCATCGGATTTAAGGAGAAATTGAATTTCATCATACGAAACACGGCGATGTGGCGCGTCTTCGAACTGATCGAAGGGGTTTTCTTCATTATATAGGTGTACGTCGCCGCCTTTCGTTTAATGACCTCCATCATCCTGCAACTCACCTTCATACTCTCCTCTACCGGTTGCATAATGAGAATCTTCTAAACTACGAATCAAGTTATTAAACGAAAGGTGCGACGGCTCGGATCTAAACAAACACCAACCATGTACATATTATACATATATCTATATTATATAAAAACAAATTCGAAACGAGACTCACAGCCTACTAACATTAACCAATTCAAACAGTATTAAACATTTTACATCTACACCCAACAATAGATGATGCGCAGCCCAATCACAACACATAAAATTAACCCCTACATAGGCTCAACGTTGCCTTAACTCTAACATTATATCCAAACTAAACATAAACTTAAAAAATGTAATCTTAAGATTTAGTCCAATTCATATAACTACTAGAAATACAAATATAAACTTTCAAACTCGTGAAGATGAGATAATTTAATACTGAGAGTACAATTTACTAACAAAGATTTTTATACTACTCTAAATATTGTATACATCCTAAATTATTATATAAACTTTCAAAAAAAAAAATTATTAATCATTAAGATTTAGATTCCAATTTACAAAACTATTAAATATTAAGCTAAGCTCTGAAATAGTGGTAAACTTTAAACGACATTTATTATTACAGTCGTATCGAATAATAAAGATCTAGATATATATAAGATTTAGCATTAAGTGTAAGATGTATTGTAGTCCAATTGATAAATATATGAAATTGCAAAAGTTTAGTCTCAATCTGAATACGGTGCATAATTTAAGATTGTAGATCAATTAATTTAATAAATCTTTGGCCGCGCACCTAAATTACTATAATATATAAAGTGGAAGAACGCTATAATTATTACATTTTGGCATGTAAATCGGCGACTTTTGTAGTCTACGAATGTTGACGAAACTTTAAGAAAAAAAAGTCCATTTAAAATGATAATCACATAAGTTGCTCACAGCCCGTTGCACTCTCTTTTTTTTTAATATATATCTCTATTAGTTTAGACCTGATATCGTACCTTACCGATCGCTAAAACTTGTTTCAATCTTCGGAGCAAATCGAAAATATCGTTGATTTAAAGAGGGTTTTTTTTTTGGGGTTTGAATATAGGAGAAAGAGAGGAATTATTGATAAAAGTATACGTTACATGTTTTGGGAAAGACTTGGGATTCAGGGATTGAAGTTGTCTGAGATATCCTGCACCTTGGACATCTCGTTTTTGCGTTCCAAAACCTCCTTGACTTTCCACGTCAACGGAAACTTAGTTTTTCCGTCGCAAACGCCTTTATGATCGTCGGTGTTGAGCGCGAACAGCATCACTCCGCCGAAGTTGTTGTTTCTCACGTATTCGGTCTGAAAGTAGTTTAATTAGAATATTTCGGGGTGTTTTCGACCGATGGAAGAGTACTTTGTAGGTGATGCTTTGAAGATCGTCGTAGGAGACCCATTCGTGGTTGCGAGTGGCGTAAGGACTTCTGGTGTCCATGTCGAAGATGGGAGTGATCTTGTTCTTGGATAAAAACATGCAGACTTCGCTGTAGCTTGTAAAACCGTTCAGACCCAAATTACCGTAGCCGTGACACGGTGCCATGATGCCGTTATTCGCGGAGTTGATCAATCTGGAAAATTATTTTTGATAAATATGTAAAAATAAACAGAGATAGTTGAATACCTGAAGCTGTGTCCGTAGGTGGGAAGTCCGATGACCAACTTCTCTCTATCCAAACCCTTATGCAACCAGTAATGCGCCGAATAGTTGATGTTCATGGTGGCCAAATAGAGGAAGTCGTCGTCCCTTGCGTACAGCGGCGAGTTCATACCGGTGAACGGCGTTACTTTAGTGTAGAAATGGTAGTCGTACGACATCAGATTTACGAAATCCACGTAGCTTCATCATCGAACAAATCAAATATACTAGCTCAAATTGTAGTGAAATACTCACCGATTTATGTAGGAAACATCGTACGAGGTGTCGATTATGAAAATTGGAGCTCCAACCGCGACAGTCAATAGAAACCTATGCTTTTCCTGCCTATCGATTTCCTCGCGAATCTCATGAAGCAGTTGCGTGAAATGCATCCTCTCGGTCGAATTGTTCCCAGGGAATTCCCAATCCAAATCGACGCCATCGAACTTGAACTCCTTCATCAAGTCCAAAACGCTCTTAATGAATCTGCGAAACAAATAAAATTACTTTTAAATTGTTGTTTTTTTTTTTGCTTTTACTGTTTGCGATTGGCGTGATTCAGGACCATCTTGATGAATCCGTTCACGTCTCCGGCTCCGCCCACCGAAATGAGCACCTGAAGATCTGGATTCTCCAGTTTGAGATCGACGATGGCGCGACAATTCTTCGCTTGTTTCGGGTTCAAGTAGATGCTGTTGTTGCGAATGGTCGCGAACGCGATGTTGATGTGCGTACATAACGAGGCGTTCAGACCTTCCGGATATAATCTCAAGAAGATTTCCGCTTCGGCGGGAAGAGCGTAGTAACAGACGAGTTTAAATTCGGTGGCGGAAGGTGTGACGTTCTGCGGAACGTCCAAGTTGAAGTCTATGGTCCGATTGTAAGTGGTCTGATTGAAGCTGCTGTACTTCACGGCTCTCCGAATCCAGTGCTCCGGAATTCCTACAAAAACGCTTCGGTGTGTATAGAGTTGCCTAACATAAGTTTAAATGTTTACTCATTGTTCATACATACAATTTAAACTATTTAATGTTTTGATGCTTCAGATATGAATCGCAATTGAAATATTGTTTATCTGTTGCCATAACAATAAACAGATATTACTTACTTTTGAGTGATCTGTCGTGGGGATAGAGCAGTCCCTCGGAGTTGACATGCACAAACATGAGCCACAGTGTTGTGAGGAGCATCAGGCATGATGAGAGGGCGAACAGGATCCACTTGTTCCTCTCGAAGAAGCCCTTCCTGCTGCAGCAGCAGACACACACACGCAGAGAAACAAAGAAAGAAAGGGAAACAAGTTGAATGAGAGTGCATCAGTGCGACACTTTCGATCTAGTTGGCATTCACCTAGTCTTAGTAGGGTCAAGTAAAAGTGAATACCTGGCTTGAGGTACAGGGATATTCGCCCAATCAGCCATGCTGCGTCTCCACCTGCTGATATTCATTAAACACCCATCCAAACTATCAACAAAAACTATTTTTTTTGTTGTTATCGATTTCGAAAAACGCAACACACTCTTCTTCTGAACGAAGAATGACAGTTCCAGTTCTTTGTTGCCGCAGCGCACCCTGATGGTTCGCACCAGTATCAACTTTGCGATGATATACAGGGTGATCAACGCTATGAATTTGAACTAATTCATACTTAGTATTAAAATCCCGACAATCAAAATCTCGACTATATCGAAATCCCGACTACCATAAAAATGTTGTTATTGTAGAAATTCATAATAATAAAAGACACTGTCAGGATTATTTTATGGGATAATTCAATAAAATTCAATAACATTTTGTTGTATTCTATTTTATTTTCATTATTTTGTCTGTTTTTATTACACAAAGAGAAGTTCGTTTTTTTTGTTTGTTTTCGCTGCGTTTTCGCTTCTTCCTCCATTCATTCATTCGATTCTCTCCATCAAAGGTTTAATACTGAGTCCGGCCGAGGAGATTTTCGCGAGAGTAAAGAACCATTCGATGAGAAACTTAGACGTTTTCAATTAGATCGCTCGGAAATTTGAATAATCGCGCGCCCACAATCGCATCACCACTAATTGACAGCTGTCACCGATTGTTCAACAATAGCGATTTGAAACAAAGGAACAAGTTTGCAACATCACCGAATTGACAATTTATAATTGACAGCTGTCAATTCTGCATGTCAAAGATTTGAATTTGAATTCTGATTATTCGAATCCAATTGAACGTTTTCAAATTCAAATTCGATATTTCTTCTCTCACTCTCTCTCTCTTTCATTCACTCCTCGCGCAAAATATTTATATTATACATTTATATTTTTTTTTACATATATATTTTTATGGCACATTCATTTATTTGGATTTGTATGTATATATTCTTAAATATATTCATATATATATATTATATATAAAAAAAAAACAAAATAAAATGGGGGTTGGTATTGGGGGAAACGGAAATAAATACACGATCGAAGAGTACAATTATGACACCTGTCACTTTGACATTTAGGTGCGTCAACTAAATTAATAAATTATACACAAATAATAATAATAATAATAATATACTATGTACAGGAGAACTTAAAGTCTCGGTTACAGAAACGAAAAATAATTCTTACGTTTAAATATATATTAAAAACTATGTACAAAGATTCTTCTCTTTCTCTCTCTCTTTCTCTCTTTTAGCTTTCCTTTCCTCCTTAATAACTATATATATAAATACATATATAAAGAAGACATAATACACATTTTATATATAGTACTCAATTCAAAATTAGGCTATTCGTTTTACATTGAGTGATTCAGAGATGATGATGATAATAGTGACTGTTTGTTATTTTTATGTTGGCTACCAGTGTTTTGGCCGGAAATGCGCGATATAATGAAAAATGTACAAGGAAAATCAAGTAAGATGATGATGATAATAAATAGAAGCGGGTGGTTTTTCATTATTTCTTTTAACATACACACAATAACATGCACACTATATTTAAAACAACAACGAACGCACCCGAAATATCAAAAAAAATGAAACTAAAATCGTTCTTTTCTGTTGTTGTTTCTTCTTTTCTAGTTCTTTCATTTTCGCTGTCTCTCAATCTCTCTCTCTCGTTATTACTCTTACTTTTATTAATCTTTTGTTGTTCTTTACTCTTTCTTTTTTTCTTCTTAATTCTTCAGTTGCAGACGTGCTCCTCCTTCTTGTACCTGCAGATATCACAAACGACGTTACAGCACCACACGAATTTGCATTTGCATTTCTCTTCGACCTCGCGCACCCTCGTCTGGTAACCGCGACCGCAGCACAGAAGACGGCAACCGTCGATACCTTGACTCGTCCTGTTGCACAACCTGCCTCTGGTTCCCAGGATACTTAAACTAAAAACAAATAATAATAATAATTTAGAATGATAATTGAGTTATTTTCTTGCTAATTGATTACGTTTCGTTTTTCTCGCAGTAATCGGGTGAGTCGTCGAGGAAGACGAGATCGGTCTTGTTCGGTTTCTTCATTTCCGGACTGACGGCCCTCAGCTTTTTTCGTCGTCGTTCCACGAATTTCACGTGCGAGGCTCCTTCGTAGCTCTGGTAGAGGGCCTCGCTCACTTGACGTAACGGCGGCAATCGCCTCCAGCACACGCGGAGGCTGCACGAACCGGACATTCCGTGACACTTGCAGACGCGTTGCATCCTCGATCTGATGCTCTACAACAGTATCCACAAACTCAGTTCAGATTTTCTTTTTTTGTTATTGTTGCTTACTCTACGTCCTGCTTCGTTGTTATGGAGATTCATGAGTCCGAGTGCGGTGTTGGCGTCTTCGCGTACGTCGAGGAAGTCGCGACTGAACTTTTCCCCGAAACGGATGTCCTCCGAGCAGCCGCCCCATTGCCACGTGCGCGGTTTGCGCTGTCGCACGCGGTTGTCGCACGAGCACTCGTTGAGCTCACCTTTCGAACAAGCTCTTGTCACCGCGAAAGCGACGCTCGCCGCCGAAACCGCCGACAGATACGACGATTCACGACTTCCTAGTTACAAAACAACAAAAAAAAAACAACAGTTAGCAACGAACAAATGAGTAATGAATATAAACACTTCTTACTTATGGAGACGACGTTACCGAAAACGGAGCTGTTTTCCGGAAAAGAAGTGCAGTTCCATCGACTGTTACGAAACTGATATTGACACTCGTCGATCGCCATCTTCGCTCCATTCCCCAAAATCTAAACATACATACATATATCTTATTTATCAACTGTCAAAACTGACACAATGTCAAAATTACGTAATTCGTTAATTTTAACAAGAAGTAATTGAATGTTATAGGTTTTCACTTACCGGTAATATTTTATCGTTGAGCGTGCAGAGCTCTTTCTGTCGATCGTTCAGATACTCCAAGTTCTGGCAACGATCCTTGTGCGCCGCAGGTGTTAAATCCACGGAATTCGATATAGAATTCGTCAAGCCAAGTTGCCTGTAAACCAAAAAAAAAAATCATTGATTTTAAATTTTGCAAAATTTTAAAATTTATTTACACATTGACGACGGCATGACCCACCGGTGGGTCATTAATTATAAATAATAGTTTTGTTGCTATGTACGCCACTGATTTTGACTGAGAATAACCTCAAATATCTTAAGTCAATTACAAACTTCAAACGCCAATAGATTTCTTATACATATTTTAATAATTCTTGAAGCAATTTAAAACAATACGTGATATTGTGATATAATTTAGACATACTTTACAAATTAACTTGCGAAGCATATTTGAAATTTTCATTCAAGTAGAATTGAATGAAAATTTCAATATTTTTCCCACAATTGTTATAAATTGCTTCAATATCATTAAAAAATGTATAAGAAAAATTTAAACGTTTAAAGGTTATAATTGACGTAAGATATTTGACTTTTCACTCAGTCCATAGGCTTCCACGAAAAAATTTCTGGGGGCAGACAACCCGAAAAGCGCCGTCCTTAACGTGTTAATATATATATATCAATTTTTACAATTACATTTAAAGAAATAAAAAGGGAATAACTTGATGATGATGATATTAGTATTATCAAGATATCCGGTTACCATAGAAACATTATCATTATTTAAAGATGTACAAGTCAGCAGGTCATTCGAAAGTGTCAAATTGATATGTCAACGTCAGGTGAATGTCAGTGCGTTTTCGTCAACCTGTTGCGAAATTTCGGGGGATGAAAAAATAAAAGGGACAAAGGAGGACGGATCGGGCAGGACCATTGTTGCATTATATAAATATCGGATTACGGACGAAATCAACCCCGCAGACATGTACACACAGACACAAACAAAATACGTGCGTGCACGAGAGCGTGTGGGGGATGGATGGGGATGATGCGTTCGAGAGTTGTGTTGTGCACAGTTGTTAGGCACTAATTAAACATCGGGGTTTGTCCTGGGGCAGCCAATGATGGCATCCCTATGGGGTCTCCTCCACCTCCTCCACCTCCACCACCGAAACAAAAACAACAACCACTACCACCGCCATTCCACTCCATTGGCCTGCAGGAACACGGCCATTGTTTTTGGGGGGCAAAGCCCCATTGTATGGAACGTGCAATTGTTTTGTTTATGCAAAGGACTTTTCTCTCTCCCTCTCTCTCTCTTTTATATCCAACAACATCATTGATGGATGATAATGTATATATATAGAGAGAGAGTTTTCTCTCTCACTCATCATTGCACTCCAGCCTACTTCGGGCTGCAGGCAGCCGCCCCTTCGTTAATTGCATTCAACAACTAATCAACGTGTGCTTTGTAATGGCCAATCTTGCGCACTCGTCCATTAAAATGGCGGAACCCTCTCCTCTCTCTCACTCTTCCGGTTTCCACCCTTTCTCTCTCTCTCTCTCTATTATCAACATCATCATCATCATGATCATCGCACTCGTAATTAGTCCCAGGCGGTTTTCCCATTCTTTCGACCAACCAAACCACCCCACATCGCCGAGGAACATAGAGAAGAAGAAGAAAAAAAAACACAAACGAGTCGAACCCCAGCATAGTTCCGCGTCGTCATCGAGAAATAGGACCCCCGGGGGATACCACCCCCATGCCCCTTCTCTCATACGGAAACCGTTATTAATTCCTTCTGCTTAAATAAACCGCCTAACGAAATGCAAATATATAATCAATTACGCCCAATAAACGCTCAGCTAATTCGAGTCAGCTCACCTAATTGGACGTCGTCGTCGAATGACAGATGAGAAGAGATTGGCGGCGGCGGCAGCGTCGTGTGCGTCAGAGCCCGAAGATGTAATAAATTCGTCGGATTGATTGCGTATAAGAAATGCAATCTGCTTGAAGACGTTTTTTTTTCTTCTTCTGCTTCCTCCCGTTTTATATGGGGAGAGAAAACGTATAGACTGGAGGAAGAAAGGAGAGTTTATTCTATAAATACGGGATGTTATGGGCAGGCGATAAAAGTCGCGCCGCTGCGTGCGGAGGGGCCGCCTAAAAGGATCAAGAATGTCGGTGGTGGCTGAGGGTTGTTGCCCACCCTCTTGTACTTTATCTACATTCGTTTAGTTTACTCGAAGATTCAAGATTCGAGCGAAAAAATAAAACAAAGTATATCGTTTTTTCGGCACTCAGACTAGCAATAATTCCGTCTGACTTTCGTCGAGACGAAATTATTGCACGCGAAGGGCACATTAAAACGCCCTTCCTCCGTCCCTCCGCTTGCGTTCTGGCCCTTGTGGGACACGTGTAAACGAAAGCGAAAACGCATCGAAAACGACGAAGACCAAAAGAGAGGAATAAATAAAACAGAAGACAATCGATACCAGTTCGATTCAAGGTCAAGTGTGTTTACGGTGCGGCGGCTTCTGTTTCGTGTCGGCTCACTTGCTACACATGAGTTGGCGATGGTTCATATTCACAAATGACACATGTCAAATTAAAACCGAAATATGAAGTACTTGAAGATTCGTTCATTTCTATTCAATGAAATACATATATTTCTTTTTTTTTTGGGAATTTTTGTTCTTTCGTGTTTCATTGAGTCTCATCTGCGAAGGTGGTGGTGAAAATAAAAAGAGAATCTGTTGTCTATTAAAGAGCGACGCATGGCGGCGGTGCACAATATCCTGTGTATAGTTTATAGTAGGCACTTTGGCCCCGTTCGTTCGTTAAACTTATGGAAGTCATAATATATTTATATACTGTTGATATTTATTTTCTTGTTGCCTTTTGAAAATCGTAAAATCTCTCTTTCTTCTCTCCTCGTTCACCTCCTCTTCTCCTCCTCCTCCACCTCCTCCACAGCCGTCTCTCCATCATACTCCGAGGTTACTCTAAATATTAAAATACTCATACAAACAACAACACATAAGCCATAATACAACAAGAAAAAGCAGAAAGTTCTGAAGGAGCACATTTTTTTTCCAAATAAAACACACAATAGTAAATAAATAAGAAGAAATTGATTTTGAGATAATGAAAAAGACCTATTGTTGTTGTTTCATAACCATGGTAACCACCATTTTTTTCAAAAGAGGAGGAGGTTGATGAGAAGAAAAAAAACTTTTGATGTTGTTTTTTTGATAACCATGGAGACCGTCGTTATTCAATATGATGCTAGTGAGTAATATAATATATATGAATTCATAATTCCAAGTCCATTCAGCTTCATGTTCCCTCCTTGTCCTCTTCCTCGTTTTCTCTTCTTCTCCTTCTTGTCCTTTCTGTTGTTGTTGTTGTTGTTGTTGAAGTGCTGCAGACTGATGATGAAGACGGCGACGTTGGTTGTAGTTGTCGAGGAGGCGGAGAAGCACGTCGAAACCGTCGTTCCACGAACGTAACCTCTCTCTCCCTTCTGTTCTTCTTATTTTTTTTTTTAAATTCTTTTTCGCATTATTATTTTATTAATAGCCCGGTCTGCTCAATAATATCCGGTTATTAAAACGCTCCACGTCTTTCGCTCTTTCAAAACGTTCTTCGTTCTCTAGTTACCTGCGCGTCCGCCAAAAAACAAAAACAACCAGCAAAACCATTGATTGACAGCACCTGTCATCATCTTATCCTAGTCAAATTTTTATGCAATCGCGAACTGACTGTCAAAATTGTTGACAGCTGGTGTCATCGTGTTACGTTATATCGTCCAAATCACAAAACATAACTGTCAACGTTACTACAAATTTATATTTTTTTTTGTCCTCCAAGAGCAGTTATTAATTGTATATATGTGTTCTTGTCGTCGTTTTCGTTTTTTTTTTTTCGTTCTGGCTTAATATTCATTAAACTGTCCTCCAGTTAAGTGGCATTACAAAGAAGATGAAGAACGGTTTCTTTGTGAAGGGGATCCGGTAATGCTCTCCGATATAAATCAAACCGATTTTGACGTGCGACATGTGCACTGTAGAAGTAGTAGTGAGCGAGTAAACCGTCGTCGTCTTCAGCGTCGTCAGGAAGAAGCACTTTCGACGACGAAGGGCTCCTCTTTTTTTTTTCTCTTTCTTCCTGTGAACCTCTTGTAATAATAGTTTCGTTGGTCGAGGGTTCTCTCACAGTTTGTCTTAAGATTGGTTTTATTCATTTTCGAAGTGTTTTTTTTTTTGTTAAAACATGAAAAAGCAATAAATTTTCAACATTTTGTTTGTCCATTTTTTTGGCACCTTCTGCAGACGTGTACTCAGTTCATGCCTTGCTAGAGTTTTAATGTGGATCGTTCATCAAGAATAATGGAAAGTAAAAGCATAAAGTTCGGATGGATGTCAAGAAATGGGAAGAAAAGATTGGTGTCGGATGAAAGATTTGAAGGCTGCTGTCAAACGGTAGGTAGGTCGTCGGTGGTGGTAGGTGAACAAACTGGTGGGAATGTTTCGGAAACCGCTTCGACAGGTCAAGTGGGGGATAGAGGAAAGAGAAAGAGTGAGTGGGTGAGAAGGGTAGGTGAAGAGGAAGGAGGGAGGACAGAAGGCAGCAGCGCTGTTTCTTTTATTTTCGGCGGCGGCGGCGATGGAAATTGGAGCAGAGAGAACTCGCGCGTCCCGGATTAGGAGATGCAAGCAAGCAAGCAAGCAAAGATGCAATGTGGATGCTGAAGAGGAGAGAAAGAGTAGGTTGGTTGGTTGATGAAGGTAGCTAGCAGAAGGCGAACGAACAAAGGGCGACGGTAGCTGAATTGCACTCAAAAAATATTAAAACCCCGGAGAGAGCAGTTCTCTTCTAAATGGTCTTCGTCTCTCTCTTCATCATCTCTTTCTCTCTCTCGAATCACGAATCTCCCGGAACGGAGCACATCAAAACAACAAGAAGAAGCAGCAGCAGCAGCAGCAGCATCGGAATGAGTGAAGCGAGACGGACGCTGGAGGATGCTAACGAGGCTCCTTGAAAAGGCTTCTTCATCATCTTATTCTTCCGATGCATGCGCTTCTTCTCCTCTCCGGCTCCATACACATCCACTCCACTCTCCACTCTGCACATCCATCCACCAGTAG